CGTTGTGAAAAGCTTTTAGTGCTAGCGGTGAGTTTTTAAGATCGGTAGGTGAGTATTCATCGATGTCGGTATCGAAACCACGCCATTTAACCCTGTAGCGGAGCAGTCCGTAAACTTTGCGGACTGAAAGTATTTTTTCGACTTCCCATTCCAAGTTGCCATCGATCTCTTCAGGTATAGGTGGTGCGTGAACTTGTCCAGGCAAAGGATCTTCTGCGGCTTTGCGGAGCTTCTCAGGATTAAAGTACGGGTGTACTTTGATCTCTGCAGGCAATTCTAGCTTGAATGCGTTTCCGCGTCTCTCTAGGATCCTATAGGGGCCGCTCATCTGGTCTCCAAGTTTGCGACTAGGCCGATTAGTCCTCCAGGACTTAGTACTTACATATACTATATCCCCGATATCGAAATCAACTTCGCGACGTCGTTTATTAGCTTGCATTCTTTGACGTTCCTGTGCGACCAGCATATTAGAGCTAGCGATTTTCCAAGCGTTATATAGATGCTCGGTCCACGCTTGAGCCTCCCTTCGATTCCACTTAGCAGCGGCTGGTGTTCTGGCGGGTATTTCCTTCCAATCGAAGCTGGTGCGGGGTTCGAAACCTAAAATCGTGAAGAATGGGGTTTGTCCAATCGATTCTTGTATTAAGGTAGCTTGAGCGAAATCCATTATAGGTATCAGCTCGTCCCAGTTGTCTTGGTAGAAATTTACGAAGGGGCGTAGGCGTTGATCGATGTATTGATTCATATTTTCTGTTTGACTGTCTGTTTGGGGGTGATCTGCCGTCGATAGCTTCATTTTGATACCTAAGATCGAACATACCTCCATCCAAAAGTCCGACACGAATTGTGGGCCGCGATCTGAAACGATACTATCAGGTGGTCCGTAATAAGAGTAAATTCGTTCTAAAAACATTCGAGCGAGATCTCTAGCATCTGCAGTTTGGAAGCACGGAATGGTTGTCGATTTCTTGCTCAATCGACACATGAATACCAGGATTGCATTGTGACCGTTTTTTGACTTCGGAAAGCTCTTGAAATCCATCGTTAGATGCTGCCAGGGTCTTTCAGGGACAGGGAGCGGTTGAAGCAAGCCGGGAGTCTTGTCACGGGGTATATGAGCACGTCGGCATATGCTACAATTGTGAATATATCTTTCAACATCCTGAGGCAATCCTTTCCAATAATACCCGTTGTATCAATAGTTCTGTCGTTTTACGAATACCAGGGTGTCCCATAGAAACTTGTTCATGAGCCTCCTTTGATCAAGAGTGTTCGTAATGGTCTATCAACAACCATAGCGTTTGGGTACTACTAGGCTTTACCAGATCGAAGCAATAAGGCAATCAACCCACCGTCCA